CGGAGGGAGAGTGATGGGGGTCAGTTAAAAACAGTTGGACAGAGAAGATATGAAAGACTTCTTCAAATCAATAGCGGCTTGGCGTCTCCAAGCACAGCAGTACAGCTCTCCCACTCCCTGCATGCATGTCTACACACATCCAGCTCAAGTTAAACACTTATTTTTACACTTGGTGACTTTTTCCCTTTTTTTTTTCCTGTATTCCCCCAGTATTATTTTAGATTTTGACTACTTATCCTTCCGATCATGACTGGTACTTCAAAATGTTGGAGAAATGTTTCAAATTAAACCAGAAGGATTATGAGGGTAAATCGTGATCACAAATAAACATCACAGTCTCATATAGTGAACCACGGAATCTCAAACAGATGTTTTTAAGGAGTCACTAGCTCAACAATGAGCGTTTGAGAAGCTGAAGCGAAGGTTCATGCGGGATTCTTTTGGGACCTGAATGCAGCGTCTTTGTAATGATCACAGTGGCCATGTTCCAACCAAAACACTAATCCTTGAGATTCCAAACATGGACAGAAACTCACACGTTCAACTGAGCACCCAGGTAATCATTTCCATACTTATTTTCATTGCGTACAAATTCCGTTATGCTTCATGGGTTTTAATAACAACAACGCCGAGCCTTTCAGAGTAGGTTACACAAAATCATTTTTGTAAATCACATTCATAGTACCACCCCTCCCTGGGCTGCCGACTTATCGTGGTGGAGGGGTTTGACTGTCCCATTGATCCTGGGAGCTATGTTGTCCGGGGCTTTAAACCCCTGGTAGGGTCACCAAAGGCAAAAAGGTCCAAGGCAAGGGATCAGACGAAGCACAGCTCAAAGACCCCTTATGATGGATACCTTAAATGGACCTTGGCAAGGCAAGGCAAGTTTATTTCTTAAGCACATTTCGTGTACAACACATTTCAAAGTGCTTTACTCAGAATTTAAAAGCAGAAAAACAAAGAAAGAAAATCAATCAACAAAATAAATTAGATAGATAAAAAGTTAAGGGTGCAGAAAAAATACATTAAATTTCAATATGCACATTTCAACAGAACCAACAGATCCGCATCGCCGGTAGTAAGTCTGACTCGTTTCCCGTGAGAGTTGGACTCCACCAAGGTTGCCCTTTGTCTCCGACTCTGTTCATATCTTTTATAAACAGAATTTGTAGGCGCAGCCAAGGTGTTGAAGGTGTCCCTCTTGGTGACCTTAGGATCGCATCTCTGCTTTTCGCAGATGATGTGGCCCTATTGGCTTCAGCAAGTCATTATATACCGCTCTCGCTGGAGCAGTTCACAGCCAGATGTGAAGCAGCTGAGATGAAGATCAGTGCCTCCAAATCCGAGACCAAACAAGGGTAATGTGCTTCTTTCGAGTCAGGGGGAATGTTCTTCCCCAAGTGGAGGAGTTCAAGTACCTCTGGGTTTTGTTTTTGAATGGCGGTAAAATGAAGCGGGGATCGACAGGCAGATCGGTGCTGCGTCTGCAGTAATGCGGGTGTTGTACTGGTCTGTTGTGATGGAGAGAGAGCTGAGCTTAAAAGCAAGGGCTCTCAATTTATCAGTCGATCTACGTTCCCACCATCATCTATGGTCATGAAGTTTGGATAGTGACCGAAAGAACAAGATCCCGGATACAAGCGGGCGAAATGGGGTTCCTCCGCAGGGTGGCTGTGCTCTCTGTTAGGAAAGGGTGAGGGGCTCAGAGTAGAACTGGTGCTCGTCCACGTTGAGAGGAGCCAGTTGAGGTGGATCAGACATCTGATTAGGATTCCTCTTGGTCACCTCCCTGGTGAGGTGTTCCAGGCACGTCCCACCGGGAGGAGTTCCAGGGGAAGTCGCAGGACACAGTGGAGAGACTATGTCTCTCGGCTGGCCTGGAAACGCCCCCGGAGGAGCTGGCAGAAGTGGAAGGGGAGATGGGAAGTCTGGGTTTCCCTGCTTTGGTGGCTGCTCCCGCAACCCAACCTCGGATAAGCGGTGGACAACGGATGGATGGATGGACATTCACTGTACCCCACGAAAAAAAATGTAGCCTGCATCTGTTCCTTGTCAAGATGTTGCCAAAATACAATGAGACCCTGAAATGACTTTACAGACATTAGCTTTTCTCCAGAAAATCATTTGTTTTAATTCATTCAGTATGTAGATTATGCAGCTCTATGACAAGTATATACAATATTATTCTCAGTTAGTTGGCTGATGCAAACTATAAGCTTTTAGGCATAAAGCCTTACAGCATTTTCTTGTCCTTCATCCAACTCCATCTAATTAAACTGGACCCCTACTGGATGGTGCACTTCACAAGGAAGTTTGATCAAATCTGTTCTAAATTTTACAGAGAACAAAATAAAGTCCACATCTGTGCAGAAATAAATCAATGAGTAAATGAAAATAAAGATTCAAGGCGTAATAAACCCAGCAAGATGCCTCCTGTTTAGGGCGGGATTAAACCAGTAAAAATGCAATGGGAAACATGCGTCGCAATCATTTCCAAGACACAAAGGACGAGGGAAACTAGTTCCCACTGAGTGAGCATGCTGAGTCACTTTAATAGTTTGTGTGAACAATAAAAGTGTACTGATACCAGCTAAATCCTTTTCATATTAAAAACGTGAGGTGTTTCTTTTATAGCAGATGGAGTTCTGGTTTTCATTTTTTAAAAGCAAAACTAAATACTCATGGAACGCACCTGTAAATTTAATTGACTACCATGTTAACAAGCATCATCTGCACTGCCATCTCCAGGAAACGGAGAACGTGAACCAATAGTTAACTCTCTCTGTTCCATCCCTTACCTCTCATAGGAGTAGATGTATGGTTTGAGTAAAGAAGGGGTGCATTTAACTAACAAAGATAGATCATTTAGTTTTCATCATGCCTCGATTATTTTAAGTCAGTCTGGATTCTTTTTTCCACTTTTAGCTTTTCAGCAGTGGCTGTTTCTGGCTGCTGTAATTGGACTTGTTGAAGCAACAAAATGGAAGGAAATAAAAAACGTGTTGCTACTGTGCCCCTCCTTTGAAAATCTTGCATTTTTACACACACACGCACACACATGCAAACACGCGCCTCTGAGCTTCCCTTCAGTAAGGCGTGTGCGTAGCTGAAGTGTTAAGAGGTCCTCTGGGTTGCTCCAGAAGAAGCACCGGGACCAACACCTCGGTGTTAAGCTGCTGCTCATTTCCTGACCGCTCAATAAATCTGTTGCCACACTGGCAGCAGTCTGCAGTGTCCCGCTACCTGGACACACGAGCATTCAAGCACGCGCTCACGCGCACGGTTCTTGGACAGACATGCCTAAAGCACTCGTAATCGTGGCATTACGGTGACCCTACACATAATCATCCCTGTCCTCACAGCACAGCGGGCTGTATGCTGTTGGTCACGCTCTGGCTCAGAAATGCCATTCACTAGACTACATCTTTCATCGCCATCTCCACAGCAACAGCACCTTAAGTCACCGTGACAATGAATTCCACCTGGGCCTGTGTCGCTCGCTGCCTCTGCAGCACTCAGCATTCAGTCACATATCTGTGCTGCAGTCCTCCACAGCTTCTTATAACTTGATCGCAAATGTTCTCTAATCAGCCTTCCTGCCCGTGTCCCTCCAAAAATCATTTCCATTCTCAAGGTTGAGTCTTTTCCTCATGGGTGCATTCATGCCAGGGGTATGACTCTCCTGGGTGCGTGGCTCGACTCACCTACCAGGTCAGCCTGAGATGGAATAAGAACTTGGGGTAACCGTGATGAAGTTCAACCTGCTTTTTGATAGACACAAATGAAGCACAGTGCATATAAAGCGCACACTGTCCTCAAATGATGAACAGCATCCCTCATAATGCATGTTTACCACGTCCCTCCGGATAATACAAGCGCACCCTTAAGTCCACACTTAAGTGCATAATGTGTTTTGGAGCTGCGTGTAATCCCATTCAATTTACAAGCCATTGCAATTTATTCAAAGTGACACACAAAGAAGTGGGCACTTTCAGGTTCCTTAGGGGTCCGATGTTTGGCTTCCCCATTGACAGGCCCACTATAACTCACCGCTGTAACTCACACATGCCAAATATATGGAATGCCGGGCAAAGGGATTAATCGTGCTGAGGTCTGTATCTTCGCGTCGGTCCATTTGGCCCTGTGTTAAGATTAACACTTTAAGGCAACACAGGAACGACGAAACACCGAGCGTGCTTTGACGGCAGTCTGCTGCCCTCGTGTGGTCAACGTGTGGAAGAGCTGACCATCCCGTGGGTCAATAGTCGGTATTTTTCTCTAACCTCTTTGAAACGTCCAAGTTATGGAAAGCTGCTCGATGTAATCTGGGAAATAAATCAGGAAAATCTAGCATAACGTAACAGGAATTCAACCGCACTTGGTATAATCTTAGAAGCTGAGCTGCAGTTGTGAAACTACAGCAGAAAAGAAAAATCTATCTATGACATCTAACAAGGAGTTATCTTCTGTAACAATGCGATTGTGGTGCAAGCATTGCTCATACAGAGCGCTGTTAAAGTAGAAAACCGGTGGAATACACGTAAGAATAGTTGAGAAAAGCTAAATATGTCATCTGCCCATATGGCACAACACATGGTTTACGGTCCCTGCTGTGCGGCCACTAAAGCTGAAAGGTCAAGACTAAAAAATGCTTCCCAGAATGCTTTCATCGAAACATTATCCACTTTAAATATCTTAAATTTCACAAATACACAGAATGAATTAAACAGGGGTACAAATTTAGCTTTAAAATAAAATAGAATGTCGACCGATAAGAGTAGATTTAAGAGAACATGGAAATACTGTAAAAGATCATTCAGATTTTACCTGCGTAAATTTGACCGCGTCCCAAATGCATACGGTGAACGGTCATATAGGCAAAAAGTTGGTTATACAACGTCTTCAAGCACACCGATGAAGCTCCCTCTAGTGGTGGGCGATGGTATGACGGTAGTTGTGCTGCAGCCTCCCCGTGTGGCTTAAACAGAGGGAGAGAGAGGGGGGTAGGAGCGAGAATGGCGGCCGTGCAGTGCACCAAATGCACGGCAGAAAGAAAAGGTTTTCGGCGGGAACTTGATTCTTGGCGACACAGACTGGTCCACTGCGTTGGTACGAACTACATGCACTTGGTTATTTTGTGAAACGTCTCCGGACTCAAAAGACAATGCCCGGTAGCAGAGGGATTGCGGTGTCGAGCTATGTTGTATTGCTAGCTTGTTGCTAGCGAGCTAAGCACTTGCTAGCTGCTAGCCATCGCTCCATTGGAAGTGAACAGCGGCGGCTAACATTTACCCGCTAGCTTTTACGTGTTGACTCCCTTTGTTTGTCACCATGAGCTAGTTAGCTGTCCACCGGTGTCGGCTTTTGCGGACGCTTTTATATAACCGTGGAGGTTGCGTCTACCCATCTTTTAGGCTTATCGTGTTTATTGTTCAGGACAGTATCGTTGTTAGCTGTCTTTGTTCACTGACACATTCATTTATGTTAGTTATGGTAATACGACGCTAAGCTAAGGTAAATGTTAAGCTGTCACTTGGGAGAGGGTAGATCGTTATCGTTAGGAAAGCTGTCGTCGTGCAATGTAAAGAAAAAAAGTGTTCTCTTCATTGCTCCTTTGTTACATTTGGTCACTTCCCATAGTTTTATGTATTATATCATTGTTTGTGCTACATAAACTAGTTGTCAACGAAAGGCTATCTCTGTTTACGCCGATTATTCATCACGTCGAAATCAGAACGAATATAAACTCCCATTGTTGTCAATAATACTGTCCATAATGATGTGTATTGCTCGTAGAGTTAAGACCACTAGCCATGAGAAAGTGTTTTTTTTTCTGAAGTTTCGCTGTTTTGTCGCAACGCAGTTGACAGGAAAAGACGTAACAACCGCACATTTTTGGCGTTTTTATGACCTCTGGGACCGAATGTACAGCCTGTACCCAAATGTCCTGTATTTCAAGCATCTTGCTCATGTTGATACTGACTCTGATCTTTTTGTCCTGCAGGGTTTGAATGTATTCTTGAGGGAATCTACGGCCCGATGCTGCTGAAAGACCTCAATTTGTTTGTTGGTGGGTTATTAATTGTGTGCATGTGAACACATTGGTCATTTTGTGCATCCATACCAAGCTCTGATTTCACACAGATACATTTGTTGGAATGTTATATCCAAATGGTCAGACCACTGGCTATTTTCTTATGTTGTACCCTAGGAGCAAAAAAGGAGGTACCGTAGCTTCTCATCAGCTGATTATTTTATTTTTTGCACATCTTAACACTATTTATATTGAACAGATATTTTTGCTGGGAGATTCCTCGATTCCATCTTGGAGGAGCGTTCAAATTTGAGTCATACTAACATATCTGCTAAATCATTGTAGGCCTTTGGAAGTAGCTGGTTGAACTTAATCAAGTCATGGCCTGTTTGATCGTTGTTTGCATGTGTTGCACTGCTTCTAAACCTCTGCAGTGGGCAACAACCCACTGAGAGTAGTTCTTTTCTTCACAATTATCTTTTAAGTTTTTTCTTTTTTTTAATGCTACAAAAGAGCGCTTATCTTTAGAAACTTGAGGCCAAGGCTCTGTAAGCATCACAAATCAAATGATATATTGAATGAGGCACTCCTTTTTCCTATCTCTGGCATGCATCAATGGGTTAGCAGTGCCGACTCGGCTTCGCAGGCCAAAGAAACTAACCTGAAACTTTTCGCAAACCAAGCAGTACTCCAAACCAACAAGTTTGGGCGATTGTCATTTAGATTTTTAATTTTTTTTAACGTGATGTAAACGAAACAAGTCAGATTTATGATATACCGTTCTGATCATTCCAAAGTTATGTCCCCTCCCCCGTTCATGCATACATTTTCACATAAACAATCATCTTTCATTGTTCTATTCATCAAGGCGACTGGAGGTGAAAATATTGCGTGGGATGTTGTCAGACGCTCTGGATCTATACTCTGCCTGGAGGCAGGTTGCTGTGTCTCATTGTTCAGAATAAAGCCACCTCCTAATCAGACAGCTGCTGAAAAGGGGATTCCACAGAAAATGTCCGTATACACATTTATGTTTATTTCTTTTGTAGCTAACCCGATGCCTGAGAGCAAGATCTTGTCTAGGCCACGTAGATCCAGGGTTAAACAGAATAATTCTTTGCTATGTAGGGATTTGAGCCTGACACGAAGCAGGCGCTGAAAACATATACACTCCACTGTGACACATTAATGCGCCCACAGATGCGCAGACCAGACAGTGAAGTTACTTCTACCTGTGCAAAGAAGATTCCAAAGGCTGCGTCCATCAACACATTTCCAGTACAGATGAGCCAGCGGGCAGTCATTGCTGGAAAAAAAACAGCTGAAATCACTGCAGTGAGCTTGCATATTTACTCGCCCTGTCTCAGATGACCTGTGTGTTACTTTCTGTCTCACTCATGGTCAGACAAAGACTCTTCAGATGTCAACATTTTGCAAAGAATTTTCATGACATAACCGTTTGGATGCCTCTGAAATTCTCTGTTAAGCAACATCAACACGAGTGAGTTTGAGCCCTGATTTACCCTTATTTGATAACGCCTGTGTGTCTTCTGTTCCCTCCTTTCAGACTGTGAACCAGAAGAAGTGGATGATTGGTCCCCAGAAGCAAGCCGTTCTCAGTGTTCATTCTGTAACCTTTCACTGGACAAACTCAGTGTAAGAGCTGCTTTCAGGATTGTCAACCAATAGTCACATTTAGCATTGACATTGAGCCGTCCAGTCAGTCAATATTGTTTGATTTTTTTTGACAGATGTTATACAGCAAGGGGGAAATCAATAAAAGAAAAAAAATGTCTCCCTTTTTCATGTAGGATCCCGCACCTGTAGCCTCGTCGCCTCCCTCCTCCCCCTCTGATTACTCTCCTTGTCAGGCCCTGACCCTCTCTGAGAGCAGCCAGTCAGCACACAGGTTCCTCCAAGCTGTGTTTCACAAGAAAGGTGAGGCTGTTTCCACCTCATTTTGGAATACATTAGAGAAACAAAGGCAATGGGGCTATTGTGTAGTGTGGGTCTATGCATGCATAGTTTTCAAAGGCCAGTCTCCCTTCTCCCTTTTCAACGTTTTTTTTTATTTATTTATTTTTTAGAAGAACATTCTTATGGTAATAGTATTCATGGTGTAGCTCTAAGGCATCTGTATAGGCGAGCCGTCTTTGTTATTGGGGTTTTTTCATCAGCACCTACTCAGCCACCTGCTCTGCTCAACTCACCTCGCCACCACTTGTTTTAGGTGGTTTTCCCATTACAAATTAGGTCTGTGACATCATTGTAAACAACTGAAGCACGAGGCCATAATGAAGAACATACACCGGCTGTCCCTCCATGTAGGCCCATGTATTGGGCACGAAACAATGTTGATGATCACAGAAGTAATTAAGGCTGAGATTTTTTTGGTTTCCGAGAAGTAGTTTCTTATTGAATCATAAGACTCTGTGGCCAATCAGTGGTCAGCAGTCAACCTGACTGGGCCTGCTTTGAACCCTTGTCGACTAGGAGTTAAAACGGAACCTATCAGCTATTAGCAGGTGTCAGCCCCCTAGCAGAAATGCTAAAAAAAAGTGCAGAACCCAGCTGAATAGGAACTAATGGCAAAGCCCAATAAACGTTGCCTACACAGCGGCTATAAAGATGGTGCTTTGATGCTAACTCATTTTGGTTGCTGATAACCGTCGATGTCCCATCAAAGGTCAGTCCCGGTATTAGGACAGTTCCTAATATAGTTTAGCTCCAGCTGTCTAAACTTGATTTATGTGTTTTCCAAAACGGCACCACAACAAAGAGCAGTTGAAAATGTACCACACTGTTGTCTGACTGTCCCCACATGACAGAAAAATGACCTAATTTACAGCATATTACTTTTTTGAATGTCTGAATGTGTAATGCCAAAATGAAAAAGGTGTGCAAACTTCAGATGCTCTTTATGCAAAGTGTAAATCAAAGTCTTGACGTTTGTGAGTTGATAACCAGAGAAAATATCAGAAGTTAAGTTATTTCTGATTCTCATCACTACTCATGAGACAGATTGGACCACTTCAGGCTGTTCTCTCAGTAACACACTCTGCTCCTTTGTGTAATTCTTGAGGTTTCGAATTTTTATCTGCAAAGTTTATGCAATGAAACATTTATTTTTGCCCTTCTACAAGCTAATACCTGTACAAAAGCCCTCCCTGCATAGACTTTCACAGTAATTGTTCTACAAGGCTGTAGAGGCCATTCTCTAGCAGGTTCCTCGCAATAGTAACACTTGCTGTTCTACTACTCATTCAATTACATGTGTTGTGTTGGGAAAGCCAATAAATTTAACCTATTGAATTGAAAGCAGTGCTCACATTTTTTCCAAGGCAGGCACTGATCTGGTAAACAGAAAAATTGTCATTTGAGCTGATCAGAAACTCCTAAATCAAGCTAGTAGTAAGGCCATCCACTTTCCTGTCTGGACATTAGCACATTGAAGCTGTCGGCTAGTGTTCATATTCTGGAGCAGTGGGCCACACACTAGCATGTTGTCTTAGCTGGTAACCTGGCATTCTGATGCTAACACACTAAGGTACAACTTATTTGGCCTCTCCTCTACATTACACTAATGAATTTATACCTGATTGAAAGAGCAGATGGTTTATAATTGGCCAGATTAGTGGCTTGATTTGATGGGGATATGGGCTCCATTTACAGTCCAGTAGCCTTGATTCACTGCTTGTCAGCTCCACGTGATTCATGGCAGCACACAGTTACCTGGGTTTTGCTGGATGGGATAAGCTTGTTAAATTTGTGACCTACTGACTGAATATAATTTTGATTTCCATCTGTGTATTTTTTTCTCTCCTCCCATTAGATGTGCCCACAGACTGTGATTCAAACATACCTCTGGTCGCTCAGGAGCTGATGAGGAAGATGATACATCAGTTTGCTGTGGAGTATGCTTCCAAGTGCCTGCTCCGCACCAGTACAAACGGTGTCACAGGGACCTCCTCACCTTTGTCAGAAACACCAGATGGCCCCCTGGACCTCACAGTGAGCCGAACAGTGGAGGAGAAAGAGATTGAGCCCGAACCCGGTAAGTGAGGCATTTGAAAGACTTTAAACACAATTTCCATCTTTTTTTTCCCTCCTTTTTTTAAGGTTATTTTCCTGCAGAGTAAAGTTGGACAAAATTACCTACGCCACTGTCTTTAAACCCTACACATTGTCAAATTGAATTGTCTCGTAACAGATGGCGTCCTGGACCTCTCCTTCCGAAATCTAGCCAACTCGGCAGTTACGTCATCATCTAATCACAAAGCCTCAGGGTAAGAGTTTGTTGGTGTTTGGATGATTTAGGTGTTTTCAAATATGTGATGAAAATGTATGTATAAAAAAAAAATCTTGTAACCATCAATTTAGACCTTGAGCTCCTGGTAAATTCAACAATAGATCTTCTTGATTTAAGCTTTTGGTTCAAATTCGATTTGACTAAATCTTTTTAGTGAGGACATTCTGATGACTGAATTAGTTCAGCACGGCTGACCACAGCTTATTTCAAGTCAAGAGCATGACAGAGTAGGTTAACATCAATATTGTCCTATATTTCTGTGTTTGTTTTTTTGTTTTTTTACTTGTTTGATTTGAGTAAGTCAGCTGACATCTCCTGCCCGACTCATTTCCTTCTATTTTTAAGTGCATTTGTAATGACAAGTCATCTGAGCTAGTGTGTCTTCATTGGTTTTCTTTTTCGGGGGTTGACTCTTTTATCTCTTGAGCGGTAACGTCACAGCAAAGGCCGTATTGCCATACTTGCCAACAGCTCAGGATTGTAAAGCGAGAATCTCGCAGTGCATCGCAATGATTTCCCTGCCGTTTTTTTAACTGATCCGTCACGAGTTTGAAAACGCAACCTTCAAGCACGTAAGAGTCTCGCTGGAAATCACAAAACTACAGGGGCTATAGGTGGGCGCCAAAGTGATCCCAGCCATTCACAGACTGTCCCACCTGGACGTGAAGAGGCTTTGCCGCGCACGGTGAATGTGTGCGTGCGCGCGTGACAGACACACGGCAGCAGCGTGTGTCTGAGGGCCCAGAATCAAACTGAAATCATAACAGACATGAGACTAACAGTCGCAGTGATGTTACCAACACAAGGCATAAAGGAGTGGACCCCATGGTCTACATCACCCCTGTCCCCTATGCCAAAATCAAACCCCCGTCCATCACCTCCATCCTGACCCTGCTGTTTGGTCCTCCCATCCCTAGGAGGCAGCACAGGCAGAAGGAGTACACAGAGAGGAGCTGGGAGCTGTCAGAAGGGTTGCTCTCCAAGGCTCTGAAGGATATCCGTTCAGGGAGGCTGCAGGAGCAGCGGGCTGCTTTGCTCTATGGGATCCCCCTTCAAACCCTCAGGCAAGGTTTGGACGGCCGGGCCGAGGGGAGGCAGGGGTTTCTGCGTCAGCTGACATCTGCGAGCAGAGATTTCAGGGATGAAGTGATGTCATACAGCGCAATGTCCTCGACGCTGGGCGGCGAGGCCCGTCTTGTCCTGCAAAAAGTGGCGGCCTGGGCGGAGCGAGCAGAGATCGGCGGAGGCGCAGAGGAGAACGGGGACTTGAGTCTCCCTTTGCCCCATTTGGCCCTCTATCAGTCAGGTGGTCTCCAAAAGACCCTCCCTCACGGTTTCTCCCAGCTCAGGGATCCTCTCCAGCCCCCGCCAAGCCCGACCTCCAGCCTGGAATCCCCCGCCCCCCTGCGCATTCCTCAGGTCCGCTCGGCGTCCGACCACAGCAAGTCGGCTTCGGTGGAGAATCCCGGCGGGGCTGAGAAGCTCCATCCGCGTACCTCATTAAGCGAGGGTACTGCCAGTTTGTCCGCAGCATCTGCCAGACCCTCGTCCCTCTTCAAACTCAGACCTCCGTTCTTGGCACAAGGCTGCCTGGGCAGCGCCGGCCAGCCGCCGTATCGCCTGGGACCCCGCGGATCTTCACTGGATGAGTCCGAAGACGGGCTAGGCTGCCGGGATAAAGACAAGCAGCCTCGAAAGAAACGCGGGCGCTACCGCCAGTATGATCACGAACTGATGGAAGAAGCCATTACCATGGTGATGGGTGGTCGCATGAGCGTCTCAAAGGCCCAAGGGGTTTACGGGGTGCCCCACAGCACACTGGAATATAAAGTGAAAGAGCGCACTGGAACACTGAAGAACCCCCCCAAGAAGAAATCCACTAACTTTTGCTCATCCGGTTCCAACTTATTCGGATCCGGCTCAACAGCCGGTTCCACTAACTCAGGAAGTCTTGCCTCAGCTGCCGACACAAAGAGGTTCTAGACCTCGGAACGCCTCAAACTCCTCAACACTTGAACACTCCACCTCTTACAAGATAAACACTTTCCGGAGACTCTTTGTTAAAACACAACACATGCCTTTACAAAACACACGGATATGATTATTCAGGTCATTTAACTGTTTGTCTGTAATGTGATAGTCATACTTTGAGCTGTATTTTTCTGCCATAGTCCTTGGCTGCATTTAGAGCGTCTTCTAAATGCGGCGTCTTTATTTCTTTCCAAAAAGCAGTGATGCCTCAGGCATCTTATGTTTACAGGGCCTGCCAAACGAAAACAGACTCCTCCTCACAGACTCCTGAAGATTACTGAAGCTTATAGATGTTGTAGAATTTAGCTTAGAATTCTTTCCAGTTTCTTACAATCAACAAATCCCAAAGGTTTTTTTTTTGTTTGTTTTTTGTCAGCTCCATACCTGAAGTGAGCATCTCATTCATCCGTCCAGCACTCTGAGATGCGTATGGAAAAAAAATATGATTTTAGTTTGTGATGGTTTTAGATGCTGGTGGACCTCAGCCATATACACATTTGTTTAATGCATACGGCTTCTAATCTGATCTGCCATCATTTTTTGCACGATCCAGTACAAAAAGGGTTTCTTCATACCTCAGGACTATTTTAAGGATTCCCACATTGTTTTTATTTATTTTTTAACATCCAGATATGTTGCCAAATTTTGGGATTTGTTGGTTGTAATAAAATGAAATTATACCATCTTTATCTATCTAGCCCTCCAGGGTACTAAGAGATTTCTTTTCTGGGAGAAAATCCGACCACGAATGTGGTCTAAAAGGCTGCTATGGATTAGTTGACGGAAACACACTTCAGTCGTGGACCTCCTTTTTTTTTTTTTAATCGATATGAATTAAAGTGTGACTCTCACGTTTGCTAGGTGTTAAATTATTAGGTTATTCAGGTGTAATTAAATTCTTAAATCTCCTCTTTGAGGGAGCATCGATGATTGTCATTTACAGCTTTCTATCTCTGGGTATCTGGCCCAGCTTCTTTTAAGTGACTTAGAGCCATTGAAAAAGATGAAACGCTCATAACTATTGCTAGACGCTTAAAACAGGGCGATTGTACAGTGCAAAATGCCATTGTGGCGACATCTTGATGATTGATGGGTTTTCACTCGAGAGATCAGCTTAAAGCCATTTTGTGTCCACCCCCCCCCACCCCCCAATCCTTGTGGGCGAGCTAGTTTGAACATTGTGTTGGGTATTGTTGGAATGCAAATGCGCAGCATGTTCCGAAATGTGCACTGATTAGCCTGGGAAACGTCCGTTAATGTCTACGTGTACAGTTTGTGAAGGATGTTCTTTCTGATTTTCTTTTTCTAATCACCCGTATTTATTAACTCTGCTACTGTAGCCGTATTACCGCTAACCTCACACATGATTGCTGCTTAACTTTACTGGACTGTTTTCTCCCTGACACGGATGTGCGTAGCTTCGTCGAAACCTCCAGAGCGACTGCAGATTCAAAGATGCAGTCAAAGTGCATGAGCCCCAAAAGACAGATTAGCATATGTTGCATGTGTTGTTCTCATTATTGTTATTGATGGTTAATTGTGTTGGCGACTGGAAGCTATGGTAGTTAAAGGCTTTAGTAAAGAGTTGTCATTGTGACCATATTATTATTGATATTTTTACTATAATTATGAAAGCATACACGGTTTTGTTGTTGTTTAGTTTTTTTTATTGTGTTGCGTCTCTGCTCTTTTCTGCCTGTCAGATGGGCCTATTTCCATTTCTAATGCTACTACCAAAGCAGCATTTCAGGGTTAGCCGCACAAAAGCTGCTTTGATTTGTTTTGCTGGAATTTTCAGCTTGTTTGTCACACTCGCCAACCTCGTCGTCACATATTACCTCTGAACTTTGCTGAACTGCCTGAACCCCTGTGCCGGGTTTCATATCAAGTCTTCAGTCTTTAACGTTCCGGATTTCCTCCTGCTAGAGCTCTTATTCAATTTAGAACGCTCACAGCTCTTATCTCTGGAGGAACACCACACGGTGCGAATTCATTGACATTAACAGTTTAATTGTGTGAAGGAACTATTGTACCCAAAGCCAGTTAACGGTGTCAAGTCATTTTGAAGTTGTTTGACCTACTTTCTCATCTATGTTATCTCTGGTCATTTGGAAACGATCATAAAGCTGTAGATTACTAGTTTAACGTTTGTTTTCTTCATTTTTGGAAAATGTCGGTGCATTTTATCTTTGTAACTCTGGGAGCTGTACAAATACTCCTGAATGTATGTGCTTACAGTGGTAAATATTGCCGGGTACTCCGAGGGGCAGTTTGCAAACAAACCCTTTTGAGAAATGAATTGAGACCTTTTTTTGTACAGGCTTAATTGCAATTTATTCTTGAAATCAGCTGTATTTCAAGATGAAGGCTCTTTTTGTGCACTGCTGTAAATTCCATTAAGCAGCTTGATTATACGACTATTTATGCATAATTCGATCATTGCACTATGATTTATTAGATGTTTTTATTGTGGAACCCCCTCTTTGTGTTATTTATTTATTTATTTATTAACTGTGCTCCAGAACTGTGATTTTTAGTTTGATTGTGGTGATTCTTGATTTGTAATGGGGCACTTTGATCACATGTGATGCGTTTAGTGCTGCAACTGCATGAGTGCGTTTTGCATTGTAATATTTGCTTCTATAATTTATTTACTCCAGAAACAAGACTTCTGACTGTTGTGGTTGTTTAGTGCTTAATTTGCTGTTAAAATGATTTAAGAGGTTTTTTGGTAACTAATTTGATAACCGTCACAAGCTCAGCTATGAATGTCACGCTGCATTCAAGTTGAGTCCTGACGCAGAAGGGAAAAGCTTTCAGAGTCTTACCTTTAAAAAAAGTTCAAATGTTGTTGAACTACTACATTGATTCTTCAGTAAAGTTTTCACTAATAGCCATTGGGTTTGAACATGAGAGGGTGTTTTTTGAACTGTTGGAAAAGATGCTGTTGAAAAAAAAACGTATTTTAGTTTGGGCGTTTCTACAATCCCTCTGCTTTCAGCAGAATGTCAACATTTGCCTTCAGCAGCTCATCAATAAAACAGTTCTCGAATTTAATCGACCTCCTGTTATGACTTTTCTTGCGTCTAGATTGCATAGAAGCTGTAATTTTATCAGTAGTGGAGGGTTGCTTATCATTCACCACAAATATAAATGGGATCAATATACGACTGTATAGGAAAAGAGAATTAAGCATTCAAAACAGAAGATCTGCAAAACTGCTGCCGTGTTGAAATCCTGTCGAGCAGCTGAACAGTTTGTGGCACCTTTGGTTAAAATTTTGTGTGTTTATTTTTGCTATGTAGTACAGCTTTTCTGGGAATACTCACTTTTCTAATGTGATTTCCATTAACATGTTGAACAGGACCAGCGTTGCAGCATTATTGGTTCTGCAACAGAAGTTGCCCGCGTCAGTTGCACTAATGTACTATCACGAACTAATGGCTGCTTCCTTCAGCTGAGTGTTTCTAACTCGCCAAATTGTTTCCTGTACTCTGCAGAGAGGAAGTTACACTTTCATGGTTACAAAGAAAAATTTTGATTTGTCAAATCAAAAGACCTTTTTTTTTATCTTGCCTCAGTCCATATTCTAGGTTAGATATGAAATATTTCAAGTATCAGGTGACTCATGGTTAATGAATTAGTCTTTGTTTTCTTTTGCTATATTTTTCTTTTACAGTGCCCCAACTGTTTTTTTTTAAATGGGGCGTCTAATTTACAGCCGATAGTAGGTTAAAATAATCTAGAGAACAGAGCCTACAGTGTTAGACTGAAAGACTCATTTAAGAAGGGAGAGGGAATGGGTTTGGTTTTCCCTAAGATGACCATTTATAGAATGAAGTGTAGTGTTAATAATATTTGAATACATATTTGTTGTCTCTACTTTGAACCTCAGCTTAGTTATGAGGAAAGCCTCCTAAATCCAGTCTTTCCGTTTTTGCCCCGTAGTTCCCGGCTGTCGTCGTTCACGGAAGAAATGAGAGATCTGGGACGGCGAGGGACTGCGTTTTGCCAGGATTCTGCGATGGATGGGGTACTACGTTCCCTCTGCCCAGCTCACCAGTCTTTGCTCTACCAAATCCTGAAGCTAGCTCACCAGGAGCAACTGCTGCCGTTATTTAACCACAGACAAGTTGGTCAGACTGAATCTCACTGCTGTCACTGTGGTGTACCACCACAGGATAACATTGCACCTCATCCAGTCCGTTTTAGTGAATGTAAAGCCCTTGGCCACGGCCTGTGCTGCCCGTCGGTCGATTCTGGCCAACAAACTCAGTGTGGCGGCGCCTACCATTCCGAAGCCTCAAAGTCCAGCTGTAGCATCCATCATCACTCTCTCAGAGGCTGTAACAGTGAAGGTCAGCGGGGCTCAAACTACAGTTGCGTGCAGCGGTGCAGGACGGAAAGCTATGGCGTTCTGTGTTCTAAGAGGCTGCATTGCCTCTCCTGCCAAAACCAAGCCATCGGCCGCATAAACAGCATAGTGCATTCTTTTGCATCGTCTCCTCTGTTATCCCAGTCCTCGCTGTGCGCTCCCCCCTCTAGATTATGTGCATCGGTGTGCTGCACAAAGAACGAGGGGGACTCTAGTTCGTGTTATCCAAACCACATCTGTCTGAGACACATCAGGAACGCAGTCGAAAAATGCACTGGAGAGGGAGATCATCACTGCCCTGTCCTCAAAAGAGAGCAAAGCCCCTCTCCTCCCCCTCTTTCACCCATCCCCACAGACGTGGAGAAAAAAGCAGACGAAAAACCACCATCCCTCCTCCACCACAGACAGGGGGAGGAACCTGACCCTATGGGTGGAAGCAGACCAGTAAGTTGCAGCCTCATGGTGGCGGATATGTTTGCAGCCGGAGAAAATGAGCCGCAGTGCAAAGCCCTGGTTAGTAAGCGGGCTCATCAGAACCCAAGTGGGGCTTCGCTGCAAGAGGTCGTGACTCGTTTCAGTCAGAAACTGGAAACGATCACATCGCTAGACAAGGACCCTGCGCCTCTTTCCACGGCGATCTACGCTTCTGAGAAAGAGCAGCCGCAATTTCCCTCGACCAGTCAGAGCCCGCAGTGCCACGCTGACGCTCATCTGACTGAAATCATCACCACGGTGCTGCACACCGGCAGCTCTAGCGACTACAGTCTTAGTGAGCTGTTCAACAAGCATGATAACATAGCCCCAAAGTCACCCAATACTCGCGCTCGCCGTCGCAAGGAAGTCATGGACGCCATAGCAACCCGTGCCGATGAGGCGTACACCAGAAGGCAAACTTTACAAATCAAACGGGATCTGGCCATGCTGGATCAGTCTTGTAATAGGAGGAAGAGACCCACAGCAAAGAGGGCAAGACTAAAAGATGGGGCCGTTTCAGTAACTGCATCGGGTACTCCATCAGACCCTGACCTAGATAAAGCAGTCTCTAAAAGAGAAATTGAAGCTGGTGTAGAGCAACTAGAGAGCCATATGGCTGGGGAGGGGACACTGATCGAGCTCACAAGGGAAGAAGATGAGGAGGAAGCTAAAGAGAATATACAGGCAGTTATAGTACCAGACGATCTACGGGGTGTTAGTGAGGAGCAAGAAAGGGAGATACCGACTGAGAGAAAAGAACTTGCTTCATCAAGTGCTGAGGCACACCGTCCCGGGCAAAAGAGTACAGATGAAACAAGGGGCTCAAACGTAAAAACAGAGGTTGTAACAGAGACTGCAGTTGCTGTGACTCCGTTGGGCGGTCTCGTTGGAGAAGATTGTAAAGCTGTTAATGAGGCAAGTGATAAAAACCAAGCAGAAGCCCTACCGATACAAAGCTCCGGTAAAAATGACACACTTGGTAAAGATTCTCATAGCCCTGTTAGACAGGATCAAAAATGTCAATCGGGCCACTCCATGGGAGTAAGAAGATCCACAAGACATATAGTACCCCCGCTGTGGATTTCTTCCTATGTTACAGAGCCCCGAATGTTCTTTACAACCAGTTTGTCTGAAGGGATGAGCAACAGTACACAAGATGACGAGGCTCTGACACCTAGCATCCTGCATGATGTAGCCAAAGATCGTGATGCTCATGACACTCCTAAATCAAGAAGTGATGCCCATCTATCAGAGTGTACAGAGACGCTTCCCTTTGAACTCAAACAGGAAGAACAATGTGAAATGTCTAGCACACAGTTGAAAGATCAGAAGCAAATGATGCCTGTTGAGGAAGAGTCTTATAAAAAAGACAGCCCCGAAAAAGAAACGGATGCCAATGATTTTTCTTCTAGTAGGAGACTACGGTCATTTTCAAAAACACTACAGGTCTCTAACAGGTCAGAAAATCCAAACATGGATTTGTCCATCACATCTACCTGTGTTCAGAGCCTTTCCAGTACCCAAGCCGAGTACACTAGTCCAATTAAACTTATGTTTGTATCACCAGTAAAGGTTAAGGAAGGAATTAGATATAGTCTCAAGTCAGCAGGTTCTAGTACACAAACAGAACATTTTGACCCTTATGAAGAGTCCTCATGGGGAGGCACGCCTCAGAAATGCAAAGGCCAGAACAATGGTTGTGCAACATCTCAAGTAAAATCTGCTAATTCGCCTCCAAAATCTGCTAATTCGCCTCCAAAATCTGCTAATTCACCCCCCAAATCTGCTAATTCGCCTCCAAAATCTGCTAATTCACCTCCAAAATCTGCTCCTTCGTGCACAAGATCTGTATCCTCGCCAGCAAAGTCTCCATCTTCACCATCTAAGTCGGCATCCTCGCCCAGGTCTGTGCCCTCATCACCTAAAAACTGCCTTCGAAAATCTGCTGATTGTACTCCCTCCAAGTCTTTATCCGGATCTGAGGCTCGGCGATCACCGGGTGACTTGCCACCTGTCAATGAAACCACTCCTCCAAAAAGACGCCCAGGTCGGCCAAAAAAGCTGGGACCACGTTTGGAACAAAAAGCCAAGAGGCCCATTGGTCGACCACGTAAACAGATTGCTGCCGATTCTGCAGAAGAGGCAAAATCATCGAACAGTAAATGTCTGACTGGATCTGATGTTGACGACAGTGTGAACAAGAACCTCAAAATAACCGTTTTGTACGGTCGTTCAAGGAGAAACAAACGAATGGTGTCTGAGAGCTTTGACCAGCTACAAACAGACTTCAGTGACGCACTGCAAAAAGTGGATATTGGAAGCGACTTGAGCATTTTATTGCACCGCTCTAAGACCTTAGGTACTATCAAAAGGGCTTCGGAGGAACTAAGTTTTGCCAGCCCCGCGATGGAGCCCGCCCCTCAGTCTAACGGCAACGTCAAATTTTTAGGGCAGGAGGAATCCACACCCTCACGGAAACCAGGCAGACCGGCGAAAGTGAAAATATCTGGAATCTCGGTCACCGTCACCACAGTGTCGCCTCGGCAACGCAAAATTCAGCTAGACAAAGACACTCGGCAATCGTCCGAAACGCAGCCTCACAAGAAGGCGCTGCTGTCAGATGGGAAATCTGCCAAAGATCCCTGGACAATCAGCCGTCAGCCGACAAGCAAGAGCACGCGAAAGGAAGAGAGGCTGGAAGCACGGACCCAGTGTAAAGACGAGCTCCCACATCAGCCCGCACCGGTGCGACACTCGATGCGGGTGAGAAAACCCTCCATCCACTTTCTGCATGCCGTGGCTACATCCGGCTTCAGATCATACAGCCGCAGCAACGCGCTGCTGCGGCGCTCCAAACAGCTCCTGCTCACAAAGGAAAGCAACGAAAGGAGGCAGGAGCAGCGGAACAGCGCCGAGGCTTCGGCCGAGAAACGACGGCCCGGCGGAAGAGCGAGAGCCACGGTTTCTCAAGATCTGAGCAAAGTGGCGGAGGCGTCCGTGGATTCGATATTTAGCCCAAACAGGACGCTGAGGTGGTGGGCACCGTCCGCCGAGGAGAAGACGTTGAACCAAGAGCTGGCCAGGCGAATCCGAGTCATCTCTGACACGTGGGTGGCAGACTCCGCGGAGGGCCAAGAAAAAGAAAGGACCTTGAATTCCAAACTCGACAACAAAGGGAACGGCGCATTCGCAAGGAAGTCGAAACACCCCTCTGTGGTCCAAATGCTGTTCGACTGCTCCCCGACCAGACCGAGGTCCTGCAGCATGCAGCAGATCCGCTCCTGGTTCATGGAGACCACAGAGACTCAGTCTTTGGCCATTGTCAAAAAGGCCAGCTCCCGCAATCCTTACGAGCTCCTACACTTTCCTCGTTCGGCCAATAAGAAGAGCACCCGCCACAGTCCCCAGGCAGAGAGACTCCGCAAACACGTCAAGAAGTTTGCCACAACCGTGCCAAAAAGTCCTTTGCAGCATGAACAGGCTCAGCAGCAGCTGAGGAGGAAGAAGGACATCAGGCGGCGGCTTTTTGCCTCCAGCCGAGCGGCGGGCAAACGCCGCCGGGGAGCTTTGTGGCGGAGACGCGGTTCTTCAGGTAGATATCAGGCCACCCTGGTAAGGGCAAGGTCTCGGTTCCTTACGTGTAGAGAAAGGAAGAGGTGGCAAAAGAAGCTAAAAAACCGGAGAAAAGAAGCCCCCCGCTTCTCGGGTGGACCTGACGCAACTGGACCCCGACCGGGACGCAAAGCGTCGGCAAAAGATCGGTTCTCCGACAGTTTCGAGACGGGTCCCACCGCCTGCTCTGCTAGCCAAACTCAGGAACTTGTGGATGCAAACAAAGAGCAGAAGCTCTGTTCAAAAGCCTGGAGTCCCGAGACCCTGAAGGAGTGCCGGGTGTTTCTGAGAAAGATCAACTCCCCAGACAGTGAGTCAGCGGAGGAGGAGTGGGAGTCCTGCACCGTCACACTGGATGACGGGTCACCCTCTGCTTACCTCTTTGCAGGGCAGGAGAGGGAACTGGTCGGAGTTGTTAAAGCTGTGAAAAGTGAGGGAAAAGGGAGCATGAGTAAGAGGACCGCCTCTAAAGAGCAGACAGTTTCTGCAGTTAATTCAGTACAGAAGCAGGAGGCAGTTCCAGAGGAGAGGGAGCGGGGTAAATACAAGAGTCCCATGGGTGTGTCGGCCGAACTACCACAACCACCACCAGCGAAAACGTTGAGACAATCGCGAATGAGAGGCCTGTCTGGGCCCAAATGGTGCGACTTCGTGTTGGGTAACTATCCCTCTCTCACTCTTCAATAATTCAAATAATAAATTAAACAAATTTGAGTTAAATGCCCCCAAAATTAAAATGCATTCTTCCTTTCTCTCTTTTTTCCTCTAATTTGGCAGGAAACTAATCGAAGCGCGAAGCCGCCTCCTCTTGGGAAAGGAACTGTGGTTTGTAATGGTGCCTTTGGACGTTGAGCTGACCATGTGGACTGACTATCCAACTATGGGTCAGTCTTGCACTCAGCAGTTATGTAGCATTCTAACTTAAAAGCTTGACGTTGCACTATTTTTATCCATGGATTCATGTTTGTTTTTTTTGCTCTTTTTTCGTGTGTGTACGTGTTTCTTTTAAATTTGCTGAGTAGAGAACAACTCCCTGCATCCGATGTTTTATTGGGATAAGTAAACCTCTTGTGAGTCTTGCTAGTGAAGCCATGTTTTAAGGAAGGGCGGGGCTCAACTGTATTAGTGCATTTCTCTCACCCTGAGCACCCCCCCCTTATGAAGGTCAACACAGCTTCTTGAAATTCTGTAACTTTACCACTTCAAGACACTCCTGCTCTAAACCCTGCCAAACTTACTGTTTTATTATTTATTTGTAACACTTACTATAGAGCTCTTGATATTCTAAAAGAATTAAGTAATTTTATCATAAAAAGATATTGACATTATTTGTTGTTTTCTGCATTTAAGTAGCCAAATAACATTTCATTATGAAGGACTGGTTAGGACCTGCCCACGCCCAATTTTGTTTTAGACAATAAGCGGCTGTAATCCTCTACTGACATCTCGGCACCAAATAGAATGTACATTGGATCCACTTTCAGTCCCAAAACCGCACCGACCCACAAGAGGTGTGAGAAATGATCAAGAAAATGGCATTATACAAACGTAGAGCATACCTCCTGCTCCTTTTGATGGGTTGTGGGATCTGTCCGTTCTCGCCCACAGCTGGATGTCGCCGCCAGATGTACCTCTTGCACTATCCCATTTGAGATTATTAATCCCGCAGTTCAGATTCCTCCTCCATTTTTGCACATTGTGTCCCACTAGCAACCCCTACTGTAAACCTAGAGGATCTCTTCGGTGCAATACAAACCCAGATGGTTTATCATTATGTAGAAATAGGTTTATTGCTGACAGATGAATGGATGTACACGAGTCCCAGTGGCCTAGGATGTTAAGTTCATCTGTCTCCACAGCCATGATGGGTTGAGATTTCAGCCATTTAAGATCCGAGGCGCGTTGTTGGCTCTGGCGTTTTTTTCACATTTGCTCTACTATCGACTGAAAGAAGCAGAGGAATGACTAAAAGCTAACAGCTGCCATAGCATTAATTTAAATCTTTTTTTTTAATCATAGCATTATTCACTGTTTAAAGACATTTAGCTGTTTCTCTGGAGTTCTCTTTTTGTTTGGTCTTTCCTTTTCCCTCACGTTGCAGCAAGAGACGCCTGCCTACCTCCACTGGGGCTCTGCTAGGCCTACTGCTCTTGAGCTTATCAGCCGTCACAGATGAGGCTAGAGTTGATCAATAAAAGCAAATTCCGGATCGGTTTGTTTTCCTGCCACGTGCTGGAACGCTGCTGGATCCACTGTCTGGCTTTTTTTAGCTCAGAACTCAACCCCATAGTGAGTATAGTGCCTAACTCCCCTTTGTATATATACGTGTGTCACTATGGTTGCCCTTTCAGCCTGAGGGAGGTGGAAAAGGCTCAGCCCTGTGAGAATAGACCATCGTCTCTTTGTTTGAAGAACCTGGTGCTAAAAACCTGTTGTATATTTTCTTTATCATGTTTTTATACCGTTCATTACAGATGCAACACAGGTGTCTGTGACTGGATCAATAAAGAGTTTTCAACTAACACGTGGGAGCTTCTGTTTACAGTCATGTAAGACGAAAAGAAAAAGAATCTGTTTTCCGACCCAATAAAACTTAATGTGCTGAGAAAAGATGGTGATTTCTGATGTATGACAACATCCCACTTTAATGAATAAAATGACAAAATGTGACTGACAACGTAACAGCTAAAATAAGACATGTTTGGATGACTATTAAAATGTGGCTGTAACCCAAAACTACACAGAGAGCAGAGATCTCTGAAAGTAAACGATTCCAGAGCAGATTGGAATGGTTTAAGTTCAGGCGGAGCTCTGGAATACAACAATTTAAATATAATATGTGCCACTCTTGCTTCCCCCCCTTCCCTTTTTATCACACGTTGGCTTCCTGATCGATGAGGGTGTTGAGGTCCAGTTTGGTCTTCTCCAGTGCCGCTGTCTTAGCCCTCCGTGATGGACGCACGGCGGGAACCGACTCGGGCACGTTTTCCCCATCGCTGACACCAGAAAAGAAGCAATGACTGACAAAGTGCAGAAAACTGACCAATTGCAGAGCTTTCTTTGTAGTTTGAAAAAAAAAAAAAGGGGGGGGCCTGTGGACTCACCTCTCCTCTGATGACTCCGCCCTCCTGCTTAGTTTTCTGCCCGCTTTGCCGGTTGCCGCTTTTCTCTGACCTGAGCAAACAAACACTCTGGTCACCTCCCAGTGCTGACTCCGCTGCTCTGAGAAGCTCTAAAAATAAAGCGCAGCTGCGAACGGCGGAATTCAGAAACCACTTTACCTCTTTTGGGTCTCTTGGCAGATTTTGATGGATCGTCCGTGGCAGCCTCTGGGGAAATAAGGCAGACGCGATTCAGATTTCTGCATCTCGGTCTGCACGGCATTTACTTTGGCACGCCGATCAGGGCGAAGGGATTTTTACTTCAAAACTAGAGTAAACCTTATATTGGGAGAATCTTATGAATAAATGACTAAAAGCCTCAGCAGATGGGGGATATTAACCGGGCTTTGCTCTGGGTTTGGAGCTGTTTACCGTCTGCGTTGACGTCCAGAGGCTGGAGGGCGCTGTGCAGCTCAGCCTGCTCTTTAGAATCCACCAGCTGGTGCATCATCTTCTCCAGAGAACGGAGGCAGATTCGATCCTTCACCACCTGAAGGGGGCACGGATCGGAATGAGAGGGGG